ATAAATGCATATATTATAACAGATAGACATAAAATATTTTTCAATCGATTAAAATGTTTAAACGTAAAAAAACTGAAAAAAGTGTTTAACATAAATATCAACTAATTATAATTAAATATGAACCGTTATTAATATATCTAATAGAGTAATAGATATAATTTCTCGTTTTTAACCTTAATTAGAAAAATAAATAATACACGACAGTTGAAAAAACTTCAACAAATGATCTAAAATGAAAAACGATTTTTATTTATTTCTATGTAAACCTAGGTATAATGAATGGTATACATATTATGACAAACAAATACATTTGTATACAATTGTCAATAAAAACAATTGGTATGCATTTAAAATAAGGATAAGTTATAGATAGAGGCTTTAATCGGTTTGTGCAAATATAAGCATAGCATATTCACTACCTACTATCATACCAGATATTTGGTGGTATAAAATTATTGTTCTTGCATCACCATAAAATCTAACAACATTTTCTACTCATGAGAAATTAAATTTAGTCTATAGAACATTTTTATAACATGGATGTAATGTAATTTATTCACCGTTATGAAAATTTTAAGAACAGCCAAGTCCTTTACACCATCGCATATTATGTACCTAAAACATCTTTGAATCAGCAGGAATATTTGGTTATTCCTTTTATATTAATTGCGGAAGTTCTATTACTATGTACAAATCCATGATGATTGTATAATTTAAAAAAATGAAATACTTATGTTTTGTAATTAATAAATGTATATACTTGCACATATAATACAGGTACTATAATATTAATTATATTATTGATTTAAGCCACGTGTTTTTATCATATCGGTTGTTGGATCACGTAATTTTGTCTCGATTCTGTTTCATCTCGTACAACTTCAGCGCATACGTGAGAATGAAAATTATCTCGAATACATCCGATACAATATAATATTATAGGAAAACAATAATACAACCGTACGTATAATTTAATACATTATTATACATCATTAATACATCAATACTTACGAGACGTATTTACTCGTCACGGAAGGCAACATGGGTACGATTGCGAAGGCATCTTTTCACTTATAAGTCAGAAACCTATATATAATATTATTATGATATATTTTTACATTTGCCGTGTACACGCTCGAGTTTTTATATGAAATAATATAAAACTATATGAACATTGGTAAATATTTTCCTTTATAATACACGCACACACACACCCAACGCATTCCTTGAACCTCCTTATTCAGATCGAACGACATTTCCAATGTTGTATGCAATAGAGACAGATAAATGCCAATAAATAAAGAATATTTTTGTCTAAAACGACGATCAACGGAGCACTCGCTCGGTGTGACCTCGGTTCGACGAATTATCCAGTCGGATCGAACAGATGTTTGTTGACAATCGTTCGCGTAAACTGAACCACCATCACTCATCGCGTCGCGCTATGATAATTTAATAATTATTGTTACTTCAGAAAAAAAAAAAAAGTTGCGTTTTATTATAAAATAATAATGATATTTTGGACTTCGACGTTTGATGAACCACGCACGCTCGCGATCTTTCCGATCTATCGAGAGAAGTGCGACGCCACCATTGAGCTATTGCATGTCATTATTATATTGTATTAAAATATATTATTTATAACCTTCGCGCGATGTTAATCATATATTTTCCATGACGTACCTTCTTAGTACTTACGCATGACGTGTACACAGATGCATGTATGTATCTATAATTATTATTTATTATACGTTATTTTTGTGGTTTAAAATCGAACAAAATAACGTCCATGGCCGATGGGAAACGATTATGCGCAGCAATATTTTATTTACCAATATCCTCATAGCCCGTGTAACTATTACACTTGAATATTTTATTATTTCATTTATCAATATATCATAAAGTCTAACAGTAAAAATATAATATTTACTACAGAGTGATTATTTTGTATGGCAGGGGTGTGTCCAGAGTTATATTTCAAGGGGGCTGGTAAAAATAATGAATAATATATATGTAATATACCGCATATACGTCATCGTATCCAGATATCCAGATATTCTGAAATTGTTAATAGAAACAAAATAACAAAATGTTTAAAATAATTCAAGAAAATGAATTAATTAAAAAATATAAATACCTACTTATACAGGGTGATTTAACAAATTCAATAATCAATTTTTGAACATTTTGATTTTTACTATAGCTACCAAGTAATAATAAAGAAAAATTAATTATCTATTTAAAAATCTATTTACTCAATATTTTAATCTATAATCAAGTATAAAATCAGTTTTTATTTTTGGCACTTTAGAATTAGGTACCTATCTATTACAATTATATATACGATTTTGTTGTTCGCTAGTCAATGCTCTGCTCACATTTATAAAAGTATAGCGGGCCCCTGACGTTCTCAAAATTTTTTAATGGAGGTGGATAGAAAATTTAATTGAATAGTTTTTACTGCATGGTCGTTGCCCCTTATCACCACTACACTATTATCCAACAAAATAATAATAATATAGAATATCTACTAAATATTAAAAATAGTATTTTTACCATGCCTTGTATTAATAAAAATTATAATACATATATAAAAGCACATTTATTTTAACTCTTGGACAAGTAATGAATGAAAATCGTGCGATTTGTAAGCATACAATTTCAATATTACCTTTCATCGTTTTTTCAGGACTTAGAACAAGCTACCAATCAAAATATATCTATTACCTATTAAGAAATTGTGCCGAGTTGTTAGATTTATTTAACAATATTATTGTATGATATAATCCTTTTAGGTAAATAATGAATAAAAAAAATTTTTAATTTTAAAAAATAATTTGAGTTTTGTGACTTTAATTTTTGAGAAACAGCTTGAATAAATATATATGTATAATGTATATTTAGTATATATATTGTTGCTTCACTACTCAAAAAATGGTTGATATTAAATAGGTACAAACGATAAAAATAAAAATCTACCTACTATATTGACTTTTCTTTCAAAATAAGTATTCTAAATAATAATCTGTGGAATTTCATCAGTCACTAATATATGTAACCAAATTTTCTTGATTTTCAAGAAATATCATTAAAAATTTCTTCTGGATTAATAACCACTTCTCCGTGGATGATTGCCAACAATTTTAATCCGTATCTAGACTAATCTTAAAAATTACTAAAATCATCAAAAATAAAAAAAATCACATTAATAAATGGTCTTTTAGTATAGTCTGCTACTCTATACTTGTTAATATTTGCTTAATGATCGACATAGTTAGCAATTGTGACCTATTAAACAAGTATATTGTACACAACTTGTTATTTCGCGTGCTTGTGTATAATAAATAACCTTTATGGATTTTTGTGTAATTTTCTAGAACATGAAGAAACATATTATAGTGGACAACAGGCACTGATGTCTGACAGGATGAAGATTATTAGATTTAGATATTAAGAAAACGAATTATTGCATTATTATGAGTGTAGTGCCTACGAATATTTATAGCGTGTAGAAATCAACTCAACAGATCGGAACGACAATTGATATATACGAATATGTAATCTGCAAATAATGAAGGACGAGTAAAAGTGCATCCTTTGGAACAAAATAACGCATTTAGTTTTAATAAATGGAATATTTAATTACTAGGTACTTCTGAAATCATTAATAAAAGAAAAACGTTAAAAAAAAATAATACAATTGTATTTATAATGAGTGCCTACCTGCTACGCCCTATGTTTGGCTGTTGGACGTTTTAAATTATTATTATGTATTTATTTTTTTTTTTTTTATTTTTTTAATTTTTTAATATTTAACACGGTATTGAAAGCTGGTAAAAATTCAATAATAACATGATTTTTTTAAAATTATAAGTGTGAGTTATTTAACAATAAATACAAAAGTATTGAATAGTTCTTTGTTATTTAGTTGTAATTTACTTTTAGTTTACCTGGATATATTTACTAGCTAGGTATAATGCGTTATTATTTAATTGTTGTGTGTTTACTGGTTTTTTCACAAGCATCGCGGTATATTAAATATTATACCTACCAATATTATTCTACAAGCCACAACTATAATATGGGTATTTACACTGAAAAGTGAAAATATCGCCTATTTCATTATTTATTTACAGCCTGTATAGATGATACAAACTTTTCTTAGCTTAAACCACATATATTATGATTACTTTTCGATCTATGTATTGTGTCGTATTTCTGATAACTGCGGGCACCTACAGATAGATACAGAAGTCAGAAATCTTATTATTATATTATCCATGGGGTCTTTAATGCATTGAATAAATCTTGATTTGTATTATTTATAATGATATACCTTTAATCCAATGGTCTAGATAATGAACCGGACAACTACATGGTTATAATTATTGTATCGTTACTATAATGCTAAACCATTACATTTCTTATGCTTGATTAAAAAATTATTTAAATATTTAAAATCGTAAAAATTATAACAGAACTATATTTAAATAAAATTTGTATAAAAAGAAAAAAAAGTAAATTAAAAACGTTGGCTGTAGTAATTAGGTATCGAATTGAACCTGTATATTCACTATATAGTATATATTATACACTATATATTTATATAACTATACTGTTCATTATATTGAGTATGAAAGTGCATAAAAAATATTGTATAATGTTGATTTATTGTTTAATTATGATGCCGATCAAAATCTTCACCGGTAAAACGATGATGATCGACACTTCGAAAAAAAATGTAGGTGCCTACTCCACTGGCTGCACACCATATGAAAATTCTGCATATGTACCGACCTAAAATTGTATATGACGAAATATGGATGTATTACTATACTTATCATATTTCTAAGTTCTCATTACATCGTGTAATTATATAAGTACATACTATTATGTTTCTTATTTTCTTCCGAATATCTTGCCAAAACTAAAAATTATGTTCACATTTAATTGCATGCATAGTACCTACCTAAATTAATGAAATCATTTATATTTTTCAGGTATGATTTGGTCATTCTAACGTTATCTTATGCGTACAGAAAACACAACAATCCGAAGCCATGATCAATTCTACTATTATAACGTGTGCCAAGAAATCTACTTCTAATAGAGAAATCCATCATTATAATGTTGAAATAACGCATAAGCGGTAGCAAAAAATACAGTTTTAGGTACTTATAATAATATAATAATTAATCAGTATAAACAACTAGAGACTATACCATAATGATGTATTTAATTTACAAAATGAATCATAAAAATATATTATCAGACCTGCATTATCCAATTATACTTATATTAAAATTATAAGGTAGGTGTTTTTCATTTACATATATACCTACATTTATATTATTTCCAAAGTATACGAAGTTAATTGTGAAAAAAGTTTAAAATTCAATTTACAATATTATGTTAATTTTAAATATTATATTGTCTAATATATTTTTATAAACCTTCTATCAAAAATATTACATACAATTTTAGAAAATAATAATATTTTTAAATAATTATCGACATTTTTCAACATATAAAAATGTGCTTTAGGGACGAAAATAACCTCTTAGGTTTTATTATTATCACGTAAAATTGAGTTAATATGTAAAATGTAAATAGTTTACTAAATTTTGACCTTACAAAAACAATGTATTATTAATGTATGTGTGTTATGGTCAACTACGTTATTTAAATAAAAGCGTCATCGACTAAGAAAAGCTAATTACCTATACTAGAAAATGTTTTTAAAATTAAATATCAAACTGCAAATTACTTTTTTGACTATGATCAAAAACGCCACTCTCCTAAATTGATGATAGACAATACTAAAAAATATAATATTGTAACTTTTTAATTATTTTTACACGCATAGTGTAGTAACACTATAATAACTACATAACTAATAATAGTAATTACATTATTTTAGTTGAATAAAAATTTAATTTTATTATTTATTGTCAAACCAAAATAACCAATACCTATTATATAATCTATTTGTTTACTTTATATAAGTTTCGATTGCAGTAATGAATTTTTACTTTTCATTTAAGAAAATTCAGTATAAAAAATGATAAATTTAAAGTCATTGATTAAATTAATTGTATTATGTAACATAGACATAAAATATAGTACATCCGGAGGTACTGCTTAGAAAAATAATTATGTATTATATTGGCATATTGTTATGCTGTGCACTTCAACAAGTTCCATACTACAAAAGTTATTACAGTTTACGATTACTACCTACTTACACTTTATTATATTGAGTGAATACATTATACCCCTCAGCAGTAGAAATAAACGTAGTTTCAAATTTGAATCACAAAAATAATGCATTATGAGTTATGACTTAAGATAAAATCTAACAATGTATTACATTCGATTCTTTTTTATTTTTATAATATAAAATTCAAAAATAAATTGATATTTTATTTTTATTTAGTACAATTGATTTATTGGTCTTTAACATTATATAATAGTCGGATAATTAGTATTTTTCTTTCATTATTTCTCTGTGTTTTGAGAAATTAGTAATTACAACATTTCAGGCATCAATTTTTTTTTCTTATTGAAACCTACATTTGACAATATCTAATATATATTATTCATAATCAAACTTTATTTTAGTTACACTACTACAAGGGGATCTATTTAAGAATCTAGTGGTATATATTCAATATTTTAAAGTTTTAACTTTATTAAAATTATTTTTTCTATATAATTTGGCGTCATTCAAAATAACATTTTTTTAAAATAAAGTCTGTATTATTATCATTCATCAAGATTTTTACTTATTTGAACGATAACAAATGTTTTTAATATTATACCCTGAAGTAGAATATTTTTCAAAATATTTTGATCCATAAAAATTGAATTTTGTATGAGTATTCAATTCTTTATCACTTACAATTTGTTAACTTTCAATTAACGGATTAGAGTGGCGAAGGAGTACCATGCAAAATGTTGATTTACTACTCCGTTCATCTAAACTTCAAACACTTATAAATATTTAACTACTTGTTAACAATTCGATATTGATATATTAAAATATTTTATTTCGGAATATGTTATTAAAAAGATATTGTCATTAAAAAAAAAAGTAAAAACTTAAAAAAATTATAACGATAAAATTTAAAATATTTTTATTTTTTTTTTTTAAAACGTTTTTTAATGACATCAAATTATGTAAAAAAAATAATCTGTTTACTTACCGTAATATTATTATTAATTGTTAATTATGCTATCTAAAAATTTTAATATTCTAATTAAAATATTTTATCTTTCCTTGAAAATTATTTTAAGTAAATGGTTTTTTTAAATATCATTTTAAAAAAAAATCAAACTTCTTTAAAAAATATTTTTAAGCTAACATCATGTCAAATATACCTCGTACAAATCAATTAAATTTATTGAATATCACCATTCCTCCTTAAGCTGACTCGTCAAAGTCCATAATGAGTAATGACTATATATTTTATTATTTAACTTAATTTATCTATATATTATACGCCAGTCACATTAATACAGAAAACAATCAAAAATAATAAAAAGGTATAAAAATAAAATATAGATTTCATAATATTATCAAAAAATATCGTCCGTACTATTTTTGTGTTTTAATTACTAGGATTAGATCAATTTTTATTTGACATTATTAACAACAGTTTATTACTGATGTTACAGGAATGGCTGCATTTATCGGAATCGGCGTGCTGAGGCATATGTTATACCGTCTGATTTTTTGGGCGGCTATATTGTTATGCCTTACACAATTGTTGATAACGTTATTGAGATCAGACCGACCAATGGCAATGAAATCAAGCAACATCAATACCAGGATGATCCTACAGAATATGATTGATTTTCATATCGCACGGACCTCAACACCACCATACGAGAGTCTATTAACCGTTGAGCCGTGGGTGGATAAGCTATCGGTGCAATCAGAACAGCTGATTATGGACCAAGTACAAAAACGGTTGCCTAATCTACCGGTATCGTATTGGAACCAGAATAAAAACAAAGCAATGTACTACAAAAACGAGAGTTGCGCCAAGTTTCCGAGCATATACGAATTAGAATTTAACAACGTGTACTGGCAGTCGCTGCAGACGTCCAACGGGTCGTTTCACCTGTACAGTGCTTACTACGACGTACGGAAGCTGAGTAGGATCGGACCGGCGGTCCGGATACTGGGCATGATCAATCGTATCGAACCGACGGTCAAGACTCACTGTCAGTTTTGGTTCGACGACTACAGGCAGCCGGTTATCGTAAAAATCATGGAATACAAATACATTTGGTACAAAAAGTGGGGAAACTACAAACAGGGCATATTCCAGCCATACCTTATCGCATGCCAGATACCTAAATCCCACCACCACGCCGTACCCGCGTCAGTGTCACTGGTGGAGAACGTATGTGACAAGGCCACTAATAATTTACGTGTGGTGTACAACCGGCCAGCCACGAAAAAGGGCTTCGCGGTTTGCGTCAAAGGACTGGACTTTTTGTACGAAGACTTATCAGTGCGGCTGGTTGAGTGGATCGAGCTGTTGCACATCCTGGGTGCAGATAAGATATTCTTTTATCAGCTTCAAGTGCACCCGAACATTAGTAAGGTACTCGACCACTACGAGTCCATAGGCCGCGTGCACGTGACACCGTTGACACTGCCCGGCGGCCAGCCAAACGTTCCTGGATTCCAGCACTTGTACCTAACAAAAAAAGTAAATCACAAGCGGCAAAACGAACTGATTCCATATAACGATTGCCTATACCGAAACCTCTACTCGTACGACTATATAGCACTACTGGATATTGACGAGGTGATAATGCCGATACGGACTAGGACTTGGAAGGAGCTCATGGACACAGTGATGGTGAAGGCTCTGGCTGCAAGGAATGAAACCCGCGCTTCGTACAACGTCCGGAACGTTTATTTCCTGGACGATCTGATCCACACACACGGTTGGTTCAAGACCATGCCTAAGTACATGCACATGTTACAACACGTATACCGAAGCAAAAACTACACGAAACCAAATCAGTATGTGAAATGTTTTCACAACCCAGAAAGAGCGTTGACGCTGCATAACCATTTCCCGCTGGCGTGCCTAAGCCAGGGTTGCACCTCGTATGCCATGGATACAGCAGACGCACATCTGCAACATTACCGTGCTGACTGCGTTAAGACATTGAAGAAAACGTGTACGGAGTTTAGACAAAACAGCGTGATTGACACGACTATCTGGAGGTACAAAAAAGATCTCATATCCAGAGTGTCGAACACGTTGTCATCACTGGGTTTTTTCCCCGCCATATGACAAAAACCCAATAGAAAAAAAGGAAAAAAAATCTAACATTTCTATAAATAGATGATAATCATTAAACTATTTTTGTATAAAATAGATATGTGAAAAATCGTTCCTGCACGTGCGACGAAATTTCATAATATTGTATAGATTATTACGCGCGCGTTTTACCTGTAGATATCTTAAGTTATTATTATTATTGAAATAGAACGTACCGTTTATATATTTCCAAGTAGATAACAATCAAAATGTGAATATTCATTCATCGATGACCAAATTAATTTACATACGTTGTAAAAAGACTGGACTCTATCATGCGAGTAGTCTCGCGAAATTCCGAATTGTATACGACTTACGACTTTACGAGACTATATTTTTGAATTGTTTGAAGGAAAAAATCTATACTTTTATATTTTTATCTCGTTTTATTTTTCCATAGTGAACGTTGATTGTATCAGTCATTTTCGAATATTAGAATTTATAAGTTTCATACGCCAAAAGAGCGTCGACCAGAATTTGAGATTCCAAAATAACTTATGGTTACAAAACATTAATTTTTATAAGCAGGTACCTAACTTCGCACTTTTTTGAAATTTTATATTTCTTCAGATCATATAATATAGAGTACACCGTTTTCGAGATCCCTACTATTCATGTATCTTTAAAGTATTTTTATGTTTATACCAACTATTAGTAGGTAGGTAACTACTTTTTACAGTTTAGTACAATTATACACAAGACATTTTATTAATACTTGCCAAACATTTTATTATTAATTTTTTTTAAATGTATTTTTTTACTTTATTAAAATTAGTACTCAATTATATAAATATTTCTGTAATTATTTGATGTCTTATACATTATTTATTTATATTGTATTTTGTGAGCAGTATTGTATTAAATTATAATATAATTATATATTATGTATTGTACTGTTGTATCAACATATTTATTAATCGTATATATATTATAATATATAATTATTATGCCTTGTATCTACCTACATTTTATTGGAATATTATTAGGTTTACAACTATTACGAAAGTAAGAAATCCAACGAAACTTACGAAATAGATACAATCGATCCATTCGCACAAGTATTATACGAACACAAACTATACTAAGTATCTAAGTACGTAATTTTGTCACAATAATTTTGTTTATTGTATTTATTTTGAGCGAATTAAGAAGTCCGTTAAAAAATTATTAAGTTTACCTATAATATTATTCTTAAGTGTTAAGTCCAAAGGAAATAAAAATTATAGACTGATAAATATTACATAAAATTTACTAGGTATAACAAGGAACAAATTCACAAAAATATTACTTTTCAACAAGATATCTCTACGTGCCCCTAGCATAACTCACTCAAGACAATATATAACTTTTTATTTACTATGCCGTAATATTTCCTTGCATAGTTTTTGAAATTATGTTCACCTCCTATAAAATTTGATTAATAATTGGTAGGCACTTAGTAACATTTAATATAAACGTAATGTATAAAAATAAACGCAAACGAAAAGAAACAATATAATGTGTACCTCATTCACACTATTTTTGATAGAGTAGTAATCTACTTATACTTAAGTACATACTAATTTTACATGATACACTCATGCTACTATAATAATATAATACTTAACTATGTTGTCGTGCATATACCTACATTACACATATTAATATTATATATATAATTATAGAATATAGGTACTTTTTGTTTGTTTTTTTTTTTGATAAAAATGTATTCTATTAATTGATTTATTTGATAATTAATGATGTACATATATTTAATATAAATTTAATTGCCTTTATTATATTGTTTTTGTTGATTAAAATTACTTGTAAATGTTGAAAAAAAACATATATTTACAATTTTATTTTTCAGTAATAATTTTTGTTTAAAAAGTGTCAGTTTCAATAGAAAATCATTATAGTTTTATATAATTTTATAAAAGAATAATTACCAACCTATAATTAAAAGGCTAATGTTTATACAATTCCATGCATATTTTTTCTTTAATGGTTAAAGTTGAAGAATCATTTAATAATTTAACTTATAAGTTATAACCTTTAAAATACAAAGAAAAACATTTTATGTCACATATTTATTTATTTATTGATACATAAACACCATACGGATTGAACTATTTTCAAAATACTTTTAACTAATTAAAATTTGTAGGCGAAAACTAAGGCTATATAAATTCAAATATAAATAGTAAATAATTTAAATAATAGTAATATTCAATAACAGACATTTTTATAATAATAACAATTAATAACAATAAGAAAAAATAAATTAAGAAATGATACAGCTTTATCATTCTACTAAGGATAATTTTTAAATAATGTATAGGACAAATAAGAATCGAAAAAGAATAGTAATGATAAAAAGTTCCAAAGAGGCAAAAAAACAAGAAGGTATAATATTATACTTCATGAAAACTATACTAGAATTATTAATTTACATAAAGATTTGTGTTTACTATCAACCTTTCAATCAAAATTTATTCATCAAAGAATAATAAAATCGAAAACACAGAGAACAGAAGTATAGTCTTGTGATACGTGAAGGGCATTCAATTTTTTAAACAAATGTATAAAATATAATATAATATTAAATTATGTATGTTCATTTATTGGTTTATATTAAATGGATGTGTTAAATTTTAATTCGATAGTACACGAAAAAAATTTCGAGCGAAGGACCATAGTCATTTTCCTCCACTGTTCATTTTTTCTTCAATAAAGAATTTAAAAAAAAATAAATACACTTTTTAGTATTATTCTACTAATAAAAAAAATAAATAAATAATTATTACCTATGAATTATTGATAATTATTTTACTTTGGTAATTTCTAAAAAATTGTTTTGTTTAATAGTGTATCCGTGTCCAGAATGGAATTGGCAATCGTTAAAAAGCATACCTACGTATAGTGTGATCTTAGTTTTACTTTTCCTTTATAATTCAATACACAACAATGGTGTCGGCTAATTATTTGAAAGAAAATGAACATAATTTTAGTCCAAAAAAGTATCTGAAGAAAAATGGACTTGCCCAGGCGGAAACGGTATATTAGCCTCTACTACTAAGAATAATTTATAATTTATATAAGCTGGAAGGAGCGGTGGATGGTTATGACGGGGTACATTTATTATGTTCGGGACGCAATTCGTGTGTAGCCATCTGGTCACATTGAATCTTTTGACAATTTAACTAATTTTAATAATTCATTTTTGAATTAGGCACGATAATAAAACAAAATTGATTTTTCAAATACTAGTTTTTCACTCCTTTTTTTATTTTTTTTTTCGATTATTTTTATCAATAAAATAAACATAATTTCAACATTTAAACATAAATGCATAAATTATAAGAATCGATAAAATTATGAGTTGATACTATGTGATATGGTCGTATGGATATTAAAACATTTATACTAACTACAAACTTATTTGTTAACTAGGTATGCGAAATGTGCCATAAATCGATCAATAGTACCTACATCTACCTTATAAGTAGTAAAAATATAAATTAATCGGCTTATTATTATGATCATTTCATGGTTTAATATAATTGCGAATTTGTAATTGGCAGGAAACCATGGAATTTTAATATGTAGGTATAATGGTAACTTTTGAACATTGAAGAATGTGTATTAGGAGAAAATAATAATTCTTTTGAATAAGTAATGATTACAAATACTGATTAAATTATTAAAAGTGCAACACAGATGGAAAAGGATAACGTAAATTGCAATTTTTGTAGATACCAGATTGCGTAGACTATAAAATACTCTTTTATCTAGTTGTATGTAACGTAAATTATTAAAATTAATTTTTAGAAGTGAGCAAATTACAATCCGATGAACAGCCATTGAAGCCAAGCCATTGAGACGACACTAAAATAACATAATAATTACACGATTTATAAATATTTAAGTTTTATATTAACACTTTTAACATGTTTTCAATTTAACTGTTAAATTAATGAGAAAAAAATATGAGTTATAGCTTATCCTAAATTACATAAATGTTTTATGTTTGAATTTTGAACTATTAATTTAATATTTATTTTATTTATATAAATATTTCTTTTAGCCTGAAGCACATTTAATAAGTAAAGTATTTTTACCTCCGAGGCTTTACCAAAGTTCATTGTTTTTATAATTGTAATCAATACATAATTTTTTATTATAAATTATAAATTGTAAATGAACATTCAAATTTTATCGGAGTATTCACATTATTTTTTGTATAAAAATATCAATAATATGTAATATTATTGTAAATAATGAAAAGGGATCATGGTGGATTATATCGCCTTCACATTCCTCCCCGTTGAATTACCCGTGTGCTTTCATAATATCACTATCAATCGTCGTGTGCAAAACACATAAATATACATAAAAGAGTGTGTTATAAATCGCAAAGCTGCGTACACGCTTGCAACATTTGCGCGTAACGTAACGCCGTAATGTACGTTGTCGCGTAACAGCCATAGATGTGTGGACGTAAAGGCGTAACACCGTCGCGTAGCAAGAGTTGATATGCGACGAAGTTCCATCGCGTTCCAACGAGTTGTCGGAAAATTCGAATCGCCTCAAAAGACTGTTGCTTGGTGGGGTAACGAATAGTGCGTCTACGCGTAACGTTACGCGCTAATGATACAAGACAAGTGTGTACGTAGCTTAAATGTGTATATTATGCGTAGATGTTCGGTACCTGTTCAATAATATCGACCAGCGTCAAAGTCTCGGTGTAACTAATACTTATGATAACATCATGTGTGTATTATTATAAGTTAAATTGTTATTCTTAGTTTGATTAACGACCATCTTCCCGGAAATAGTTTGAATATATGAGCGTGTGTTACGTAAAGTGCATTATAGTCAATAGTGTTCACAACATTATAATGGACATTTTGATCAGAAATATTATCAAATAAATCAAATACCTATTATAATATTTCAATAAAATTGTATCCATTTACGAGATTGCGTGTCTTTCACTCATAAGTAAGGCTTCAAAATCTACCTATAATAACTACCAATCTTATTTTTAAATAATTGTCGAGCTATCATAGTCACTGACTAAATTTTAAAATAATTATGTTTTTCAATTTTTTTCACATCCTATATAAATACTTGAATAGATTTAAAAAATTTATATTTACGTTTAATAATACATAGACAGAAAATATTATACTTAAAAATCATTAAATCATACAAAATTGAAATTGAAGTTTAATGAATTATTTATAGTACAGAACGCGTAATGAAATAATAAATTTAAAACAATTACGTGCAGCATTAGGCATTATTGTATAATAATGTGAACTATATTCGCCACAAAATATATACCTTTAAATTGTTTTGAAATCTCCCATGAAACTATAAGAATAAAATAGTACCTTTGTGTTTTGAAAAATAATTTTATAATACCTAGATACATTGTTTTTATTTACATAATACATGAATAATACATATCCATAATAGACGGAATCAATTTATAATAATAAAATATGTATAAAAAAAAAGTGAAATAAAATCAATTTATATTTACAAATGAAAACGATACCATATCTGAAAGTTTAGTTCTAATATATTTCTGCAAGAAATGGCGTATCTATGAATATCTAGGGGACAATTAATATTATATTTTCTAATTAAAACAATCGATCAATCAAAAGAATCATTTAAGTATTATAATATGTATAAAAAAACCATTAATAATATATTTATAAGTTATGATTATA